AACTATGTTTGTTTACAAAGTTACGAGAAAACTACAACATCAACACCGCTGGTGCATGGACACGTAAAGCCACCACCACCAGATGTGTCGACAATTGCTTCTGAGACTTCCTACAAACTGTGAGTAAAACGTCATGTTTCACACTTAAATGGAAATACCCTCAACGTCGCTTTGAAAAGTCCAACATATCCATTTGTGTTCAGCAAAAGGCAGAACAAGCCCATTCATTTTCTTTTATGTTTTCCGTTTTCCGTGTGACTCAGTTTACAAACTTATTAATGTTCACTTTCACAAATCTGAGATGTGAGGTGCTTGATGCTTGAAATATATATGTCTTGTTCTAACAGTGAGGCTGATTTCAATATAGCTGGAGTTCAGCAGTTGGAAAGCACTGACTCTGAAGAGGCCGGTAGTCAAGATATAGCAAAAAGGTACCATAATTGTGCTTACCAATTGTAAGTAATGCACGTGCCAAGCGCAGTGTATAAATAGTTATATTGTTTGGGGCCCATCCTGACAGAAAGACTTTTAATGTTTTCTTACTTACCAAATGAGCAAGACAATAATTTAATTAGCATTTTTTTTACTGGGTGTACCAAACACATCCTAGCTTTATACTGTTATCAAATTTGCATGATCGACCTATGCCAAAATTACAAACAAAACTATGAACGTACAGTAGTCAAGATTTGAAGTGGATCAAAAAAGTTCATATAAGTTGGCCTAAGATAAGAACACTTTGGTTTTTCACGTCAACTTTGAATAAAGGTTTTCATCCACTTCAAATGTAGAGTAGTATACATCGATCAGAGGTTATTACATCTGTCAGTGGGGATCTAAGGTTGTAATTGAATTATTAATTATTATTATTAAAATTATTATTTTATATATGTGTAATTTTTCAAATCGTATTTCTTTTCCCTCCGTGTAGTGAATATGTACTTGAAAAAGATGTTGCGGATGAGTTCAATGACATTCAAAATACAACGTAAGTGGCTGTACTGACCTAACTGACGATAATTATCATGTATGCCCAGGTGAAAAAGACGTAGTATTAAATGTATTAAAAATATACTTGAAATTCAAGTAGTATGTTTATAATACATTTGTATTCCCAACGTGCTTATTTGAAGTGCAATAAAAATATATTGAATTGCATTTTAATATATTTCTAAAAAGTATACTAGAAGTACTTTTGTATTAAATATATGCTTAGTTATACTTCTAAGAAATATGCTAAACAGAAGCATACTTTTAATGTATTTA